AACCCTGGGCCGCTGCAGCAAAGACTCAGCCTGGCCAGCTCTACCGACTGAGCTAACTGGGCGCCCAGAATATGGAACTTTTTAATGGCTGCCTGATTCACTCTCGCCCTTGACTTTTTAAGTGTGGAGCGTCTCTGTACACCAATTCCTCAGCTCTTTACCCTTCCCTGGTTGCCCTGTGGAATACTGAGTGGACAGCATTACCTCAAATGTTGATCTGGTAGCCAGGGCTCTCCATCAGAGCACCTTGTCCCTGACTGCACATATGAGCTGAATGTACTTCTGTGTGTGTGTCTGTGTCTGTGTCTGTGTGTGAGAAATACACATGTATTTCCTGAAAGGTCATTTGTGAAGACGCCCTCGTCCAATGTTTGCTTTATGATCAAGAATGGTTTGCATAAAGAGCTCCGTTCTTTGCTGTGATCAATGGCCACGTCGATACCAAAAGTTCAGCTCAGCTCATCTCCCCGTATTTGCCATCTGTGACCTTGAATCATTCCCCCTCAGCTGGGGACCGTCGTCCACTTCACTGGATGGAACTGGTGGGGGGTTTGGTTAAAGGAACAATAGATAGAGGAAGAGATGTGAGGTAGTGCTAAAGATGGAATGAAGATGAAGAGAGCAGATGGGGATGTAGAAGGAAAAGAGATTAAAGTGGTCCCCAAACCCCTCGCTGCTGCCCTCTCCAGCAAATCAGCAGTCACCATAATAACTAATCCACTCCCTCCACCAGCAGAGCAGCAGCAATAGACACATCCAACACAGCACTCGCTGCATACTGATTGCTCGGCCCTGGCTGCTGTTGCTAGGAAGTCGACTTGAGGGGGCAGGAAACCAGGGGACTTGGGTATAGGTGTTTGCCATCAGCAGAGTGTCATACATATGATGTCAGAGGATATAAGATAATACTTAAGGACCATAGTAGTAAACAAGCCCTCAGTAATAGAGAGGTTGAGCTTTTTGATTGTTCTCATTGTAAAAGGAATTTGTATGCGGTGTCTGGCATGTGCTTCAGACACTGTAGAGCGAGTGAATAAACACTGAGGAACAAGACTGCAGTGTAACACACATAATGGTGTTGTGTTTGATGTTATGGTTGAACTGGTTGTATTGTATTTGCAGGTGATCCACAAACACTTTTACCTGAAGCGAACAGAGATCATGTCTCAGTGTGAGGAGTGGATCGCTGACATTCAGCAGTACAGCAGCGACAAGAGGGTCGGCCGTACCATGTCCCATCATGCTGCTGCTCTAAAGGTAATGTCATTAAATGTACTTAATGTATTGACAAACCACAGCAGTCAGTATTATGAACTCTTAGACCTAGGGCTGGGTGATTTATCAAATGTTATATATAATTTAATTCTAAAGTTGAGATAAAACAATTATTGTGCTCCTTTGTCCCTCCCCACCCAAACTCCACTCTTAAAAAGACACACACACACACACACAGGAGCTCATAACAGAGATACACACACTGAAACACAACAATCAACAAACTGTGGTTGTCTGTAGTGTCTCAGGCAGCTCTCCTCTCGTCTCTGTCTAGCAGTAAATAAGCACTATTATTACCCACTGTAAATAATCCATCCCCACTGATCAGAGGCCACAGCCAGCTGTTTCCATTCTGCTTAATTTTGTGTGTGTGGTGTGTGTGTCTGTGTCTGTGTCTGTGGTCACTGCAGAGACACACGGCTCAGCTCAGAGAGGAGCTTCTGAAGCTGCCATGCCCCGACGGTATGGAGCCCGATGGCGACGAGTTCTCAGAGCGGAGCGCTGCCCTCATCCTCAAAGAGCTTCCCAGTCAGGACGCAGAAAAGCCGTGCGGCAGTCAGGAGAGCCACTGCAGTGAGGGCCAGCTATGAGTCCCCGCCCTGCTTCCCTCCCCCCCAGCATCTCCATCCCTCCCCTCCTCACCCTTATGATTATTACTCTCAAAAAGACTCGATGGCTTTAGAGCACAAGCCTCTACTTTGTCAATATTTGTATGTAAAGATCTAATAGCAGAATAGCAGAGAATGAGGGGATGTGGGAACCAGAACGTGACGAAATGAACTCTGAACTATGCTTATTGAAAACAGTCGACAAAAACTTTTATTTACTTGTAAAAGAGTGTAACATTTTGTGCTTTTTTCCAATTGTGAAATAACCACTGATTGGTATGTTATTAAACTTGTTTATGTATACATAATGGCAGAGGAAAATTACAGATTATATAAGGGAAACTACCTTTAGAGAAGAATGTTTACTGAATGTTAATTTTCTTTTTTTGTTTTTTCTTTTTGACTGTTAGTGAGAGAACAGTTGTAACCAAGGATATATTGGTCATTCTTTAAGGATACTATTTAAAAAAACGAGAGAAAAAGAAAACACTCGTAACAGAATCTGAGATATAAAGCCCTTCCAGTTGCTTCAGTTGATTTCTCTAGGATCATATTCACTTGAATAAAGGCTGAGATAGTCATTCTTAAATGCTATGTTATCCCTTTTACAGGCTCCAGATTAAAAAGCACCATGCTCTGGATAAACATTTGTTGCCTCTCAGAACTTCTCCATGACCTTTTTCCATTGACATGACTGTAGATCGTAAGACTGTGTCAGAGCCACATGGGAAATGTATTTTGAAGGCTTGTGCATGTGTATGTGTGTTTTCTGTGCGTGTGCAACAATCCCCAGTGAGATAAAAAGCTGTGATGTGCCTTTGATCTACACCATACCACCAAATACTCCAACAGAGTACCTTTACTGATTTCTTTGCTATTTCTATAAAATAATAATTCTGCTCCGTCTGACATAAAATCTGCTTTGATCTTTTTTATTATGTTGAACTCCAGTGAACAAAAAATGCACTTTCTATTTTACTCACTCCTTAGAACAGTCACATACTCCTTTTGCTAGGACATTAAATGGAGTTTGAAAGTATGGATTGATTGTGCGAATGCTTCTTTCTGCATTTTCCAGAACATCAGCCTCAGTGAGAGAGACAGAGAGGGTGGAAATTTGGAGACACAGGCACTGAATACCTGAGCACATATTTGCGTTAGAAAATCAGTAAGTGTGATAACGATGACTGTCCAGTGTTGTCTAATGGGGAGTTCTAATTGGTCAAGAGGTTGAAAGAAAAAAACGCATGCATAACATGTCATTTTTACTGTAACGGGTGTGTTTTTTTTCTGCTATTTTATAGAACATTTTTTTCAGAATCAGGTTTATTTCCAAGTAGAGTTTTCACATACAAGGAATTTGCCTTTGTACATTGGTGCATAACAATAAACATAGTGTGAGAAAAATATAAATGAGAATAAAAAGAGATGAAGTGTCAAAGGCCATCACAAACACAAAACAATTTGTAAACATTCAGACATTCCTTGTGCAATCTTGACATACAGCAGGAGAACCTGCTACGACTGTTCACACTGAGGTCACATTGCAAAGAATCAGACCTGAAACTGATTTGAATGACATATAAAAGTGACCCGAATCAGAATAGAAAAGATGAGATTCCATGTGATTTGGACAGTACACACTGTGATTAAAAAAACAGATCTGAGTCACACATAACAAAAAAAAATCATATTTGGGCCACTTTGGCCTGCAGTCTGAATGCTGCCTAAGAGTCGACAACTCTGAGTCTAGACTTGGACACTGCCCACAGGTCCTGTAAAACATGGATATTTAGAGACTTTTTTTTTTTTTTTCCTGTCATGGAGACACCTGGAAATTGATTTAAATGACTAAATATCCTGGAAATAATCTATGTTGTTCTGGAACATTTTAATTGTTTTTGCCCCTCAGCAAAACTGTATTCATCAACGAAAGTACAGGAAAGTCAACCTGCTGGTAGCTCCAGGTGGAATATTAAGTTGTCACGAAAGTGATTACAATATACATCATAAATGTGGCAGATGGTCAAGTGGTCCGCTTTTACTATATTTCTGGCTGGTTTTGTAACAAATGTCTCACTAATATGTAAAATTTGCATAACGCTAAGATCGCTATCCATATAAGGTACCTTCATCAGTAACTAGGGGCCACAACTTAACGTCAACTACCCATGCTGCTGTCACAGAGTCACTACGACTTACCATTGTAGTAATGGCAGCACTGTTCTTCTTCTGTTCTTCTTTCTTAATCTATGTAGTTTTCTTTAGTCAAAACAAAAAACAAAAATGGCATTAAAAGGGAGCTGCGCCTTCTCACCGGGACCAAAGTATCAGGGGACTTCCAAATGTCATCCTCTTCCACGTATCTTAGTATGCGTTTCAATTCAATTCATATTTCAATTAAATTTTATTTGTTTAGCACAAATTCATAACAGAAGTT